TAATAAATGTTGTTTTTTCATGTACCTACCTATATTTTTCCTCAATACAGTTAAATAAGGATTTTGTTAAGAAAAAGGTTGTCTTAAGGTAGATATCTTTTTTTCTTGATTTGGCAGATTTGTTGTTAAATTTATTTTTATTTTTTTGCGATTTCTTTTTTCGATTCGGTTTGCATCGATAGTGTAGGTATATTGTGAGGATAAAATCATCAATTAATCATATTGATGATTTTCAAAGCTATTATCCAATGATATACATTATTGTTATTAAAGTGTGCCTTAAGAATGTAAAAAAAGTGATCTAGATATTTTTAAGTTCTCCTAAAATACTTTTGTTATTGTGTGTGTTTTTTACCTATGAGATTTGCAGGACTTACGTAAACGATTGCCTTACTCTTTTTAGTAACTCTGTCTCTGCTTATTCCTTCAGAAATTAAAAGGCATACCGCTATAAATCAAATTAAACGATAATATTAACAATTATCTATACATATGATCTCTCTATATACATACCTAAATGTATGTACCTACATCAAGGGATACAGTCTCATATACACTTCTGAAACCGAAATAAAAACAAATCAGTTCCTCCCCCGCGGGGGTATTAATGACACACCCCCTGGTAGGGGTGGGGAGGATATACGTGGGTCATTAGTAGAGGGTTACTACCCACCGGGTCATTACGACCCACTAATCAATGTATTCGATTAAACCTTACAAACTTAGGGTTAATTAAAATTAGATACCTATGTGGTTTGGGGGAGGGGTTGTGAGAGGAAGTTTAATAGATGTTTTTTTTATGATTGATGATAAACTTAATGAGCATTCTATTGTTATTCCTAATCAAGAAGTTTAGTAGTCTTCTCGTCAAACAATATCTACTGATTTGTTTCGTTTTGGGACCCAAGATATGTCCCTGGGATATGACTTCAGTACGGTGTTTTGATTGTTCTATCTAATGTAAATCCTGGCGGTTTGGTGTAACAATGTAGTGTATGTTTATAAAAAGAGCTTCGAAAAATGAAATTTTGAAAGTTTCATGTGTATTGTGTAAATTTGATTTAAGATATTATGAAAATAATTGCATTGGTATCTAATAAATAATGGCAATTTTTAATGTTGAAATAATTAAATAGTATTTAATCCTAATTGGCATTAATAAAATGTAATCGATTTTCGATCGATGAATAAATAATGGCAAGTTAGGTATATAATTATATCAATATTCAAATTAAATAGAAAACCTGCTTGTTTTCTCTTAAATTCATTTTCAATGGAACACCATTGTTTTTTAAATCGTTTAGGTACAGTTAATGAATACATTAATTTGGTTATTGTTTTTTAATCATAAAATTTCTTTAAACAATGACTGCATGCAAATTTTGTATTTACATAAAATCTACGAACATTATACACGTGTAGTAAGTTTTACGCAAAAACTATAAAAAAATATAGAAATCCTTTTTTTTTATGAATTCTTTATTACCTTTATATTCGAAGGCAAGCAATTATTTAAAACATTGACACAACGTTAGCCTCTTTTGCAAATAGGTAAGCAACGAAAAAGCAAAGACAAAAGAAAAAAAAAACGTTTATATTTAAATTTTAATTCGACCCAATGCTGTGAGACATTACGTTATAATTTTATTAAATAAATCCAAATGAAGTCGTCAGATGGCGGCCATATTATGCGCCTTTTGCAATAAAACGCGATGGGCTGATCGTAAAACTGACCCCAATTCGTACCCAGAACCTATGTTACATTTTTTCCTTTTTTACCCAATCGCTTAAACGCATACATAAGTATGGCATTACTTGGAAAATGTTTATTTATTAGATTTATATCATTTGTAACACGGTAAAAGTTTTTCATGGATCTATGTGTTTTCTGTAATAGATAAATAGTTGGATTATGTATATAATTTTGACAAATGTCATATAAAAATTATTTGACATAATAATATGACATCGATGTAAGTTTTGACATATTTTGTCGAATGTTTATTGTATATTGAGTTCTATTGAGTGTATTGGCAATGTGTGCGACAGTGACGACATTTCCGGAAGCTGTCAAATAATAACAATGTAAACATTATAATTTTGGGTGGGGCGAGAGAGAGTGCCAGGTTCTTGTTGTCTAAAAATCACTCTGTTCCTTCTCCTGCTAATGGCCGGCGCTGTGGTGCATAACTGCGCTTGCACTCTCGAAGCTAACAGATTGGCCTTGGAAGAGTACTAAATGAGATAAAGATTATAACAATTCTCACGAAACTTATGAAATATTTGTCTGTTGAACGTTTATAATATAGATGAAGTTATTACTAAAAGTACCTAATGGACCGAAAACATTTCGCAAAACAAATTAGCCAAAAAGTATTTCATGATCTCTCTTAACTCTACCACGAAAATATTAATTAAAATCTTAAAATCGTAATTGAAGGTCATAAACATACCACAAATTACTTGATTAGAATTTAAACACTTCTAAATATTTTTATAATAACTATCGTGAGACATACTAAATTAACTAAAATTCGCGGGTTACTCACGTGTAAATGTTGAGAAAAGCTCTACTAGTTTCGAACCACAGAGGGGTTCTTCCTCATGAGCAGCGTGCGCGGACGCGGCGACGTCGCGCGTCCGAATTTTAGTTAACTTCTAAATATGTCTGGGCTAAGATATCATGTCATATGAGGCTTACAATTAACGATAGAATATTAGTGGCCAGTCCGTATCTGTGCGGTGGTCAGACCACCATCAAAGGCTTTACCGACCCAGTGACCCATCATAAACATAATTTTACACCTACAATTAAATTCCATACTTATGGAGTATTTTACAACCAAACCATTGAAATCGTTGGCAATAAGTTCGTTAAATAACCCAGGGATATTCGTTTACGAACTCAAGATAGTTAATCGATTGTCTCTGAAGATACTAAAGCAATAACTGAGTTATGAATATTCAATGTTATTTGATATTAAAATTAAGGCTTTATATATACCCAGGTAGGTACTGTAATTATTAAAGCAAAGCCGGGTGGAAATCGCAAGGCTGGTGCACTGTAACTACATATTTTTAGAAACAACAAAAAAGTTTCAAAAACATTCTTGACAATAACTTTAGGGATACCATGGAGTTAGGAAGGATAATGGATATGGCATAGTTTGAACACTACACATGTAACTTGCCCAAAGTTGGTTGCTCAAACTTGCTCAAAAAACTGCACGGTTAGCCCGGTGGCTGATGGGCAACTGGCTGCCGCACAACGTGTCGCGGGTTCGATTCCCGCACGGAACACGGTTCGTGATCAACTAATTTTTGTTCCGGGTCTGGGTGTGCTGTGTATTTGGAATTGTATTTTTGTAAACGCACCAACGACACAGGAGAAAATCCCAGTGTGGGACAGAGTTTAAAAAAAAATTAAGGTAGCGTAAATTAGGGCCTAAAATTTTTCCCTAATCTTATACGAATTTATTATTCCTTTAATAGCTTTTTTAATGTTTCTGTCCTTTGACAAAAAAGTAAGAAACTTGTAACTTAAGATATTTATTTTTAAAGTTCACCATATCTTATCTTATACTAAATAAAATCTATCCAAAAACATATTAACTACATTAGGTAATACATATTTTAAATGAAAAACAGCCAAAACCAAAACATAAGTTACCACTAAGTTTCGCACATCACGGAGGATAGCGCCAATATTCAGCGCGTCAAATGCGCGCGCACGTCTGCCCGGCATTACGATGCTAATGCGCAAGCGCATTGAAATTTAACGTCTCAATTCCTGGCGGGTCGCGGCCACTTTACATGGCTTTGTGCGCCAAGATAACTCCTCTAACCTTTTACAGATGCCGGTTAAGTATTTAAGTAAAATACTAAGTACTTTATGTAAGTGGAAGAGAGATTCTCTGGAGTTAGCCGTTAGTCTGAATATAATGTATCTTATGGCTTTATAATAAGGTTGATGTTGATTGAAATGTAGTTTAGGTTACTTCTGGTACCTATATGTTAAGTTGGTGCAAGAGAAGAAATAGGGTGGTTTTTAGTCAGAGGGAATCTGACAATTCCACTCACAAAGGCACTTGACAATTTTTTCTCTCTAGAAAAAATAAAACGTTTTGATGTGGTACATCTCTAGAATGATGCCGAAATAAAATTTCGAACTCGTCGATATACAAATCCTCATTGACACTTATTCCTCAATTAGTATCATCAACCTTTTTTTTGCCTTTATAGCTTCTAATGTAGATGTACTACCAAACCTATCCGATTTTCCTCTTTTATATCAACCTATTTATTACTGTGAATATGATATGACACAGTCTGTTATTAACGGTAAACAGTAATTCATTGGACTAAAAACTAAAAAAAAAGTGTCATCGGTACATTGAATGATTTGACAAAAAAGGTTTGATATCGATAATCGTGATCGTGTTATAATCGTGCAAAATAGAGCAACGGGTTGCATAACGGTGCTGTTTTTGCAAATCAATCCTTTTTGTGTAGATGCTTGGACACTTTAAAAGAAACGACCTCTACACTCGATTAATATTGTAGGTGGAACAAGACTAAAAGAATAAAAAGAATGAATACACACATCTTCCGTTTTGTTTTTTAGTTATACTGTTAGGTACCACTCACTCGCAAAAGCTCAATATATTACAAAAAATTAATACAGTTTCAACAAAACTTATTTCAAACTCAAAGTCAAAATCATTTATTCCAACTAAACCATAAATAGGTACTTTTGAAACGTCAAAATAGAATAGTAGTCTGTCAGTCTGTTCGTACAGCGAAGCTAGGTGGTCATTCCAAATTGTAGATTCGATCAATTTCCTCTGCGTTACGAAAAGCAAAAAGATACGTTTATGAATTCAACACAAATCCGAATATAACAAAATACCTATTTATTAAATGAAAAATGTCAGCGCAAAATTACAATAAAAGTTACATATAAGAAGTTCTTACTAACCAAATATGTTCTTGTTACACAGGTATGGTTTCAAAACAGAAGAGCAAAATGGCGCAAGAAGGAACACACAAAGAAGGGTCCTGGTCGGCCAGCACACAACGCCCACCCACAATCCTGTTCTGGAGAACCGATCCCACCACACGAACTCAGAGCAAGGGAGAGGTGAGATATGTGCATATCGTAGTCTTACAATCTGGCCTAGATCAAATCTCAGGATACTTGAACGCTTAGACAAATGTCAAAAAGTACAACAGTAGAATTTTCCCTGGAGGAACGGGGCCAAATTACTTATTTATCTGTGTAAAAACTATCAATAAAACTTTCTGAAATAAAACTGTTACAATAGCATGACATTGCCCAAATCCAGAATTTACCAGAACTGATAATATTAATCGCTGTGTCAATAATTGTTCACGAAAAAGTGTTTTAAATAAATTTCCCTATCTCGTTTTTTTTTTCTTAAACAGAAACTTTTATTGCGTTTTTACGACTTGAATAAAACGATTATTCTTAATGTCGCGCAAATTTGATTAATTAACTGATGTAATTTGTCCGAAGGTTTTGTTTTAATTTCATGTGATTAATACAAGTGTTCGCGCTTTTATCTAGTGTTCAAGTAATTTAAAGAGAACATAAAATGATAAAAAATACATTACAATGTGCAGAGGTTACGTGTGACGCACGGAACGGTGTGCACTGCTTTCGTTATGTCATCCGTGGCGACAGTTTTATCACAATAATAGCTTTGATAAAAACATCGTATATTGATATCATACTCTCTTAAAACAATAGTAATTAAAAAAATAACAAAATACGCGAAGTCGAATAAGGAAAACTTTCGTAACATTGAACTGAATTATCGTACTATAGATTCTATACTAATTGGGCCCTATCGATTTTATCAACAGGGCGAGAAGAAGAAAGAAGTTGGCAAAAGCGTTGGAGAGGCAAGCGAGGAAGCTGCGGGCTAAGGGCATCGCCGTGGACCTCGAGGCTTTGAAGGCAGAGTACCTGGCCCAGCACAAGAACAGTGGCCTGTACTCCGACTCCGACGGGGATGGGGAAGGGGAGGACAGTATGATCGATGTGGTAGGGGGAGACTCCTGCCACGATTCGGGACCTGAAGACTTCTCCCTTACGGGCCGGCTGCGGGCGCCTTCGGGTGCCGACGGCATGAACAATTCAGACAGTTCAACGTCCGACGGCCATTCCGGGCGGCATTTCAGCCCAACCCCCGACCCTCAGCCATCTTTCTTCAAGCACTTCGGCGGAGCGAGTACGAACTTCGAGAAGTTCGACTTTGACTCCGGTCGGGCTGTCTCCTTAGACTTGAGTGGCGGAGGGCACGCTACTGAGGACCTTTCGAAGAATGGAGGGACAAGAAAACACAATCCTTTCAGTATAGAGTCGTTACTTAATACGTGAAAGTGACTACAATGTGACAATAGAGGCTCTCGGATAATTCGTGACTGACCAGTGAACGTTGTGACTGAGTGACTCAGCAGTGACTGAAATGTCGACAGCAACTGAGATCTCTCAGTACGTTAAAAGTGAAAATACTTCGGGAACCAATATTTCTGCTGATGTAGCTACGATAGAGGTGTACCAACACTTGAAGGCGTTTCAGAGATGTTCCTTTGCTTACAGTAAAATGTTATTATCATTAGATTAATCAGCTTTTGTAAAGACTTGATGAGTACCATATAATTACATATCCCGTGTGAATACTAGACTTAGGCAATGTATTATATAGGTAGTAGTGTATATAGTAACGAACGATCTATATTTATTTACTTTAATGTTAATATATTTTTCTTTTACAATCGGGGCAATAATTTTATATTGACTTTTGTTGACGATGTGCTATTTTTTTTTAATTCGTTTATTTTTGCGATTTTCAAATTTTATTTTTTTATCTAACTACTTAATTAAATAGCGTACTTATGACTTGAATGTTTAGTCGAAAATGTATAATAGACATGTATATAAACAAACGTAAATTGGTGCAAAACTAATTTCAGTAGGTGACGAGGCTTAATTTGTTGACTTTCAGAAAGAATTTGTTTTAAATGTGTCATTACGGTTTAACAGCACAATGAAACACTAAGTTTTAGTCCATTAGACAGAACGGTGGGCAATTAACTTAATTACGACGCCATCGCTGTATAATTTCTTGACAGAAACACTTTGTAACAATTACTGCGATAAACTGAAGCAGCCATGATACATCATGCTAACAAATAAAAACCTTAATGCTTCTAAAGATGTGTTATCGATATCAATATTAAATAAAAAAGACCAAGACAACATTAACACAATATAATTTATTAATATTCATTAAAAAACAGACATTAATTTTCCCATAAATAAAAATTTAAATTCTAATTTATTGAACAAGAAATAAATTATAAAAATAATAAAAAAAAATCTTTATCTTGGCTGTACGGACTAGAACAACAGACGCAACAATATAAAAAACAAATCCATAAACTAAAAAAGATGGCGGCGCAAATAAAATTACTATTGGCGAAAGAAATACAATCTCTCGTCGTAAAATAACAACAATTAATGAACGTATAATGCGTAACGACCGATAAGAGAGCCAATTAGCAAAACATTATGGCTGCGCTCACTTTACTGCCATTTTTACTTATTCCGCAGTAAGTTTAATAGGTACATAACAATGTGCAACCCGATTGGTCACGGAGTTATTGTCTCGAGCCGTTGGCACGTGAAACTATCCACTTTGAAAATCGAACATTTTTACTTGTGTTTCTCTAATTCTCTATAACCTGCCAATTTCTTAAATATAATTGTTTAGAATCGCTACATTTAATTTAATGCGAAAATATTTGAAACTAAGTATCTGAGCTTAAAGTCCCAAGCCATACTTGATGTCCATTCTGAGTGTATTACCTCGGTAAAACTCGGTATCAACTATAAGGGCTTCACTGTACATTAATGCTTCAGTTAATATTCTTGTGAGAAGCGGAACCAATTGCATTTAATTATTAGTTAGTGGACCTCGACAAAATTATATCATAAAATCAGAAAGTAGCAAATGACTGGGGAAAGTAGCCCTTAGGTAGTTTTCTCTGTCATTCAAGAAACGTGGACTTTAATGCGGCTATAGTTTAGAATATAAAGCAAATAGTTTTGTTTAGATACGTTACATTGTACAATGTTGCAATTATATAAAAAAACAAAGTCATCGATAAACTAATTTAGCTCTCAAGGACGAAACAATTAGCTCGAGCAATTTGCCAAAAGAACAACATTGATATACGCAATGTAATAACCCCTAGATAAGATGACACCTATAAAAATGTTTTCAAAACATTATTATGGAAATATAAAGACAAAACAATGTTTATTACTCGATATAATTGACATTTGGCGGTTTACAACTATTAACATTTATTTTATTGTCGCCCGCAACCTTCTGACACCAATTTACAATCACCATATCCTGATAATAATTCACATAAATGATAAAATAATCATTCTTACCCTCTGACGATATAAAAACTCTTTGATCTCTCTATTTAAAACTGTACCTACAACTAATATTAAGATTTGTGTCTAGATTTTAAAGTGTACCGATAATTTTATTTAATGTTTTATTAAATGTTTTGCCAGTGTATAACGGTTTATAGTTCAAATGTATAAGGCACACATTCGTCTGATCATCAAAATTTATATTTAAGACATTGTTATATACAGACTGTATTTTTTAATTTATTTTTATGGAACCAACCTACATTTATGTAATAATTCTAAGTTCACACAGTAGAAAATAAGTCCAAGCCACATCCTTGTAGTTGTTTAATTTTGTTCATTTTTAAACAAAAGTAATGTGTAGTAATTATACGAATGGAGTAACTGTAAATTTTTGTAGTCGGAAACAATATATTAGGTACAAAACATATTGATTAAGTTCTAATTTATATTTATAGACGAATGAACGGTGGAAAATGGATATTTGTAAATTGATTATCACACTGTATGTAAGATGTAAAAAGGTATGTTACGTGAGTAATTTATTGAATCAAAATATAACACGATTAAACACAAATATCGGTGATTTATTTCTTGTTGCGCGTCTGGACCCAGACAACAATTAGATGCGCCAGACAATTAAGTATAGCCGAGCCAGACATCTTTAAAACGCTCGATAAATCTCTGGCTGTCGCTGTCGCATTCAAGTGAACAAAACGAGGCTTTAATAGAGTTATACACCGCATTGCTATTGTGATTATAATATACTAGAGAGGGCTTTTGAACGCGCTTATAATTGGCCATATTGCAGCCGGCAACTATCAAAATGTAGGGAAACAAAACTATTCAAATAACAAATGAATTCTCGCTAACCATAAGCGGCATGTGATTATATATTGAACAAAATATTCAACGCCGCAATAACTAGAGATTTAACTGCCATTTTGTGGTGTACAAAGAAACCGAACGCCTAAGAACCTCCAGTCTAAGTAATGGTATAAAATATGTGTAGCTTCGGTACAGCACTCGTTAATAGTTAACACTTATTGAGTGTTCACACTTACATATTATTATGTTCCTGGTGCATTCAAATTGTATTTGTAATTAAGGGCTATCGTAAATTAATGATAGAATTTTGCAAGTTATGTCTAGAAGTTGAAACGAACTCGAAGCTTATTAAATATATAGTTACTCTAGCATCACCCTGGCATCATCTGCCCTGGCTTTGCTAGGGTGCAAGGCTGATTCTGAATTTCTTCAATATAGATTCCTATGTATACTAACATACTTAATGTATGCTACTGCTCTTCAATCATTCTATCTAAAAAAAAACCGAATCAAAACCGTCGCCAAATTTAAAGATTTAAGCATTCATAGGGATATAGGGACTGAGAAGGCGACTTTGATTTATATGTACTATATAGTGACAAACAAAAACTACACAGAAAAAACAACATCTAATAAAAGCAAGAAACAAAACAATCCCGTGTTTTTAACAAAATAAATAAAAAGAATGAAAAAGAAAAAAAGAACATTGATACGATTCCCTGGGACCCCACGCCGCCATGACGAATGCTTTGCCGTTTATAATTTTGAACATGAGCAAATTATTCAACAAAATGTCCGCCGCCTCTGAAATGTGACACCGTGTAATTGTGACCATGAAATGAGCTGATGTTTTAATTATTTTGTTTCATATACTTCCAACACTTTTTTGGATTGGTTTCAGTTTTAAAGTTACTGTTAGTTGCGATGTATAACATATTATTTAGCGTAAAAGGTGTAGGCACTGATTCTTTATTTGTAAATTTATGTTGTTGGCACAAAGTTACGGATAAGGTATTGTGGTCTCGGCCTAGAGCAAGAGTAGGAAATAGGGGGTTTTTAGTCAGTAAGAGACTAACACATTCCTCTTGACTCACCCTGGGCGAGACAAGTCATTGGATGATTTACCTCTAAAAACAGGTGTAGAGCCTGTTTTATATCTTTAAACTACAAATGAATGAAACATTTGTATTGCGAGCGAAACCGCTATAATGTACCGTGGGCGGACGAGGAGAAGGAATAATCTCTACTAGTCTAACACTGCCTCTCGCCCCAACAGTAAGGTTGGTAAGTGTGGGAGAGCCATGCTTCGGCACGAATGGGTCGGCTCGACCGGAATAATACCACGGCCTCGCAGAAAACCGGCGTGAAACAACCACAGCGTTGTGTTTCACCGTGCGTATAAGGTTACAGAAGGCCCTATTCTTCCCCGCCCCCAATCTCTAATCCCCAAAAGCAACGCGCTGGTAACTCCTCCGTTGTTCGGGTATCCATGGACGGCGCTGATTGCTTTACTTTGTCCCAAAACTAACTAAACGATTAATCTGATGTGATTTTTTTTTTCAGTATTTACATAAATATTTAATGATGTTTTAATAGCCTCAAAAGGTTAAATGACCTAATGACATATTTATTTTCTGTAATTTAGCTGCTCTAAAACTCAAAAAAACAACTAATTCATCAGGATATACTAAATCCTCATTACTGTCTCACTTACTTTAGAAAGTAAAAAAAAATGAAACGCTTCTAATATTTGTAACTGGCAACATACTAGTGAACCAGTCAACCAAAATTAACGCTTTACTTTCAATGTAGATAGAAAAACAACATTATATCAAGTCAGATGGCCGATAAAACATTTCTTAATTGTGATGCTCTTATTTGATAAATATTTCTAGCAGCTAACAAGCTGTCACTACAATATCATTACGGATTAATAGATAATCGGGGCTAGCACGTGCTTCATCATCGTTAGGTCACGTCAGACTATCAACGTCCATTGATCAGCAACTGATTGTACAATTCTGCAATATAATAAGACAGTAAAGTAAGTTTTTGTTTAAATAAATGATGTACCAGGTTTATCATCATCTTCATTATCACTAGCCTATATGTGCCCACTACGAAGGCCTCTTCTTACTTCAAGAAGGTTTGTGCATTACTCACGACGCTTGCTCAAAGCGGATTAGCAATTTCAACGACTTCATCATACGTCAGAAGTGTGTAAATAATCTTAGAAAGTGCATACAACTTGGAAACGTCACATTCGTACTTGCACCCTCATTCATAAGAAGCGGATGCCTCAACTTTCAGGTTACCACAACAGTTTCTTATGGTTGTGGGGTGGCAAGAATTTGAAACGAGTGTACTTAAATGGACCTCAAATGATAATGCTGTTTCAGCAAGTTCACGACAAATCTGACTCATCTTAAACAATAAAGTTAAGTTTGCTATTCTTGACCATATTTTTTCTGCGATTTTTTGGCGTACACCATCGAAATCACGCCACACCTTATGACGTCACTTTTTTCCAGTCCTTCGATAGAACAACGGCTACAAGAAAAATTAACCAAATCCTAAATTCAAGCAAGG